TCCTTTGTGAAGACCAATGCATTACCAAAGTATCATAGCATAGAAGAGTTAGAAACATCCTATATCTAGTTTGCTTAAAAGATGTTCTTATTTTAATACAAAGAAGAATTTTATTAAGGTGTTTAGAAAGTGCCTTCTTATTCTGATCAGATCTTTACAGCAAAGAAAGTTCAAGAGTAAGCTCCAGGAGGAAGATGATTTACATTATGACTCAACTCTCAAGGATGATGACACAAATATGCATATCCTTCCAGATTCTTAGAATGATGAGATTCTCTGAGACCACATATGCCTAAGAATCTCGTGAGACAGCATGCTTATAGCTAGGCATTAGTGATCAGTAACTCTTGGGGACATTGCTCCATTGCTGTATCTATAGTTCTGAAACAGTTTTGCTTTCATTCGCTGAAAGGGAAAATCCTGTAGATGAAAATTAGTCATTCAATTAACACAGCACTCACGACCTAGTGGCATCTTCCATTACACAGTATATGGACACCTGGCAAAACCAGCCTCTTTAAAAGAACCTCTAATAAGTAATATAACCTACTGTAGCAAGTCAAAGTTATGTTTCATATAAAATATACAATCATCACTATGTTCTATAAAATTACGAGGTTTTACTGCCCTTAGATTTGAAAAGAAATATAAACAGAGAAGAGCCCATGATTTGGACGCTAATCTGCTTCTTAGCTTTAAGACCCTTTAATTTGTTAATATTGTTCTCTGTTTTGTCACCTACCCTTAAAACTCTGATCTTTGCACAAAGGCAATGTGTTGTGTGTTATCAGTGAGGACAATAGAAACCAATGTTATTTAAGAAACAAGCTTGACTACTTAAAAATCTAAGATCACAATTACTAAAATTGCAAGCCTATCACTAGATAATGATAATATAATATACGATTCAAGTACTGGCATATTAAACAACCAAACAGAACTAAATATATATATGTTCGGAACTAAATTCAGAATCATTGACTACAAACACCTGCACTTTCTGAAAACAACAATAGGTAAAGAAAATGCAGAGTGATTCTGTGTTCTTGACCCCCCTTAGAAGAACGTTCTACCCAGTTTGATTTAAAAATAAGTAAGTAATATTGTCAGTTAATTGCTACCTTTACACTTCTTGATCCACACTCAGTTGTGGCCAGTTATTATTACAAAAACACCAAGTGCGTAGGCACCAAAATAAGAATATGTGAATGCTACTGCCAAATGAAGGTTTTCTCTGTGCCAAGAGGTGGATCAGGAAGAGATATCAAAAGTAAATTGGTTTGAGAAAGAATAATAAATATATACATGAAAGTATAAATATTTATTAAGTACTGCAAACTAATTTTAATCCTTCTTAACTATAGAACTAGATTCCTTTTAGATACAGAGACCAAATCAATCACCCTCCTCCATTGGGTCACCTTTAGCCATCCTGTAGGTACCTGGAAGAGCTCTACAGATATCCCTTTTAGAATAAGAATACACTTAACTCTTGAACAATATGCCTTTGAATTATGTGGGTTGACTTATATGCAATTTTTTTCAATAATGCTATAAATGTGTTTATTATGATTTTTTAAATAACATTTTCTTTTTTCTAGCTTACTTTATTGTAAGAATAGAGTATATAATACATATAACATACAAAATATTGTTTATGTTATCGGTAAGGCTTCCAAACAATGGTAGGCAATTAATAAATAAGTTTTGGGGGAGTCAAAAGTTAATATGCAGATTTTTAACTGACAGGGGGTTGATGACCCTAACGCCCACATTGTTCAAGGGTGAACTGTATAATGTAATGAAGAGTTCTGGAAGGTCAGAAGATAGCAGCAGACCAGCCTGCTACACTACGTAGAAGAAGATTATTATTTATCAACCCTTTATTTCTGTATCATTTCATAGCTGCTCCACTTATCTGAAGCTATTAAGTGAAGGTAGATCGAAAACAAGTTTGCTTGTTTGTTTGTTTGTTTGTTTGTTTTTGTATCAAATTGGGTAGGATGCAACAAGCCTCATGCCCAGAACAGGATGTCTGCCTTCTTTCTTTCTTTCTTAACCCCAACATTAGGTAACAGGTAACAGGGCCAGCACAGAGAAATCAATGGAATGCAAGTGTAAAGATAGTTCCATCATCAGGTAATGGTTTCTAAAATCCTTATTCAAAGGTCAAGTCTAATTTTTTGTTGTGATTTCTTCCCATTTGTAATCTGAGGGTCTGATTTTCTAAAGACCCTAAATTAATGTTTGGAAACTTTTTATCTTCTGTCTTTCCCCTTTTTATAGTCCATGTTCATGCCCTTCCCGAGTTTACATCCAATCTTAATCTGATAGTTGAAAGAACAAGAATATTGTCTTCTTTAACGAGCCATTAGAGAACTTTGGGAGAACAAGTTGAAAATGTCTGGAATCAGAACAAGAGTTTAATTTAATAAATTACTGTTTTCTCTTGTCAGCTCAACTGTTGCCATTAAGATTTTCCAGACAATATCTAGATCTTTTCAAAGGCCCTTTATTTTTAGTCCCACATCAAAACTCTGTGGCAATGTTTCTAAATCTTTTTTTCATTATTGTTAATCCCCACTTAAGGGGCCTTTTTAGACTTTTTTTTTCCTAATCGCGTCCCCTCCCTATGAAATATTAACACTACAGATATACTGTTTATCTGTTTGTATGTACTGGCCCTTTGGAGGACACAAAACCATGGTAACATTTAAGAATTTGTTCACCTCCTAAGACCCAGTCTCACCCCTTTGGGGCAATTTTGCCTCTCTTTGAGAATGCATGCTCTATAACACTTAAGAATAAGCTGCTTTTTGAAAATTCCCCAAACAACACATTATGAGTGTTAAATTTTTTAACTCTGTATTTTATTTTAATCTCACGACCTTTTCTCCTTTCCTAGTGTTGTTTATAGAATGAGATTGACATTGACAAAAGTATTGAAGAGTCTGAACTAATCAAAATATGTGTGTGTGTGTGTGTGTGTGTGTGTGTCTAATGTTAAGAGAAATTGTAAAACCACTTTAGCTAAAATATGGAGAAATAAATCCAGGTAGTTTTCAAAATTTTGATAAGATAAATCATTTCTCATACAGACTACATAGATGTACAGAGTTTTAACAGCGAAAAGTAAAATAAGATCATTCTATTCCAAAAAAAAAGTATTAGGAGTTGCATAACTTGGTTTTGGTTGGAATCTTGGTTAATGGGCAATGATTCCATATTTTTCATATTCTGTCCTTGACTTCTTGTAACTGATACTGGGAGGCTAAGGATTACAAAATTATGGCTATGAGGTCATGCAAATTATAAATGGCATTTACTCCATGTAGCTGAAAGAACATATAAAGTGCAAACATTAACAAATCTAAAAATTCAACCAGAACACTGTTCCTGATGGAAACATTAATGAGTAAAACAAAACTATGAAAGTTTGGTCTTAAGCCTAAACTTTTTTTTTTTAAGTTTAATAAGAAAATTTTATGCTTTAACTAAGCTGGAATTATTAAAAAGGCACTGCTAGCATATTTTACATAAAACAGTGTGAAAAAGTAGTACTTGACATATAGGGGCATCTTCTGGCCAGGAGTTTGACTCTACAGTTTCTCTGTATCCTCCACACACCTACACCTCTTCAGAGGACGTGAGCACACTGAAATCCACAGTCTACTTGTCATCAGAAAATATAATAAAAGTTTTTTTTTGTTGTTTGTTTCAAAGTTTAAAAGCCTTTCAGTGAAGTTTAAATTAAGGACATTTCAAGAGAAAAACTAACAAGGGAGTAAGATGGCTAATATGAATTTACCAGAAAACAGTCAAGTGTTGCCAGCTCAAACAGTGAAAATATTAAGAATGGCATGTTGCTTTCCTTAGGAGATGTGTTAGAACTTTAAGCAAGCAAAGAGGAGAAAGATATTAATGAAGGGGAAAAAAAAGCCTATGAGTCAGTTCAGGTAGATAGCAGAAACAGCTGCAAAGTATTGGCAACATCAGCTGTAGTTGAGAATTGAGGAATAAATCAACTTCAGATTTTGATGGAGGCCCAGAAAGTAAATAAACTCAATTAAAGTCTCTGGGACCCAATGACCCAGGTGTCCTCTGGAGTAAAGGAAAACAAACAAGCCTGCTTGGGATCTGGCTTAGGATAGCTGTTTAAAGAGCTTTGCTTTTTGCAAACAGTTGCAAAAAGACTGCAAAAAAAAAAAAGACTTCTGTGTAAGGAAACTAATAGCAGAAGCTCCATCTCCCTGTGATAGAGATAAAACTCCCAAACCCCTACTCTCAGACCCTGAGTTTCTGGCTACTTTGAACCCCAATGGGGAAAGTCACTCTGGGGAGGAAAAGGCAACAGGCTGCACACGGCCATCTCCTCAAAATAAATATTATATAAAAAAGTTGTCACTCTGTTCCAGACATGACTGTGACACTAAAACGCATTGTTCCCTCTCCCCCCACTACAAAAATAAAAATAAATCACCCAGGAAAAATCACTCCTGAGTCCCGCCACCTATCACAAATACCCCATCCATCCGAGTTTTGAGTCCAAAAAGGTTAAGAGCTTGACCGATGGGCGGCGCAGCCTGCGACTTTCTGCAACTCCGTGGTCCTACCTAGTATGACTACTGAATACCAAAATGACTTCTCTAGAGTATAGAGAGGAGCCACCTGACCCATTCGATCGCCTCCGGCACGGGTCCCACACCCCTCAATCCCATTCCGGAAAAAGGGGCTCTCGCAGGACTGGGAACAGACCTGAAACCCCTCCCCCTTCCCCGACCCCCGCCACCACAATGCATTCACCAGGGTTCATATGAAAGATGGTGGGGCGGGGGGGTGTGGGGAGGAGGTGGAGGGCAATGACAAGAAAAAAAGTGCTTTTATAAATAAATAGATAGATGATAGATAGATAGATGATAGATAGATAGATAGATAGATAGATAGATAGATAGATAGATAGATAGATAGATAGATAGATAGATAAAATCGGAGTCTCTTACCATCTCGCCTAAGGTTGGAGTTGCGCAAAGCTTTGATGGATGCGCTCTGCGGAGCTGCAGAAGTGTCCCGATAGCTGCAAAAGTTTGCGCAGACTAGAGTGTAGACGAGGATGAGCCGGTGCATTGGGATCAGCAACTTAGGGACAGCGTCGCTCCAAGAAAAATCCGGGAGAGGCTTCCGGGATCGACGCCGTGCCTCGCTCCTGCCGCCTGCGCTTGCCCAGCGATTACCCCGGCCGCTGTGCTAATCGCCGAGCTCTCCCCAAACTTCCTGCATGCTGAACTTTCTGAGCGCGTGTGGGTGCCGCACTTCCTTGTGGTGCTAGAGTTGATAAATGGTGACGGGACAAACAACAGGTTGACGTTTGTTCGCCCCCTCCGGTGGCCAGCAGCTGCAGCACAGGCTGCAGGGGGCGGGCGGCACGGCGTCCCCCGGCTGGCGAGCGGAGCAGCTGGGTCCTCCGCCACAGCTGCTGCAGCTCCAGAGCTGCGCGCACTTGGGCTCTCAGCAGCCGCAGGAGCATTCCAGCTCTTCAGGTCAGGCCGAAACGCGCTCCACAACTGAGCATGCCCAGTTTGACAGTGGGCCAGAACTCTTCCCACCACTTTGGACTTAACCCTAGACCTCAGACCAGAAAGCGGGCAGAGAGCAAGGTGGCTGGGAGAAAGTGGGAGGAGGTAGAATCTCACTACTTTTCCAGAGGTGACTGGCTCATCCACCCACAAGACATAGCTCATGCTTTGGCGATAGTGGGATTTGGATAAGGGGCTGGAGTTGGAAGTGCTTAGTTCACAATAACCAAGGTCAGATTCTACTTAGTCAAGATTTCACGCAACTGCAGAGGAGCTCGATTCTGAGCTTTCCTTTGAGCTCCAGTCGGTATGACCTTAGCTGAGTCAAGGTTCATTCATCAGGGAGAAAAGCATCCAGTCTTTTCTAGCTCACAGGGCTCTAGTTGTTAGGGGTCCATGTGGTGAAATGTACAATAAATCATCAAGGCTGTTTTTATATGCCCCACCCTCACCCCCTGCACAGTAGAAGGGGCTAGAGATCAGGGTGGGGTTGAGGAGGATACAGATTGGCAAGGTGAAGTTGTTCTTTGTCCACAGGAAGAGGCCCTGAACATCCAGGTGTTTGGGCCTCCCTGCTATGAGTATCTGGAAGCTCTCAGGTCCAGGGGATCTGCCTCTGGATTCCAGGAACTTCTACATCATGCATCTATCTTCCTGTTTAGGGGGACTGTATTTGGAACAGGAGTGGATCTAGACTCTGCTGCTCATTAGCTTTGTCACCTTGAGTAATTCATTTGACCTCTTGAGCCTCTATTTCTTAACTTATAAAAGTAACAATTCTTAGTTTGTATGGTTGTGGTGGGAATTATATGAGATAATTTTAGTATATTGCTTTGTTCGTGGCTCAATCCAAGTCCAAATTTACATAATTTCCTAATTGCTCACCTATCGCATATAAAAGAAACATTTTTTTTTTCCTTCTCCTTATGGCCTCCCAGCTTCTGAAAGTCTGGGGAATGAGAAGTAAGTGATATCCATATAGAGAGAGCTGGAAGTGGCTGGGAAGGGTAGGAAATTCAGGAATATATAAACTTTACAATAAGCATCCAATGCTGACAAGGATACATGTGTTCTTTCCATGTACTGGAAAATTAATGTTGTTCACCTCTTGGCATTTTTATCTAAAATAGTGTTTTACAAACTGCAGGTTTATGGGTCCTAAAAATCCATTTTTAAGACCAGCATTATTATTTTTTACTAACACTTTATATTTTAGAGTAGTTTTAGGTTCACAGCAAAATTGGATGGAAGGTATAGAGAGCAGTTTTAGGCTCATAGCAAAATTAAGAGAAAAGTACAGAAATTTCCCATATACCCCTCTGCCCACACATGCATAGCCTCCTCCATTATCAACATCCCCACCAGAATGGTACATTTGTTACAATTTATGAACCTACATAGTAAAAGCCCAAAATTTACCTTATGGTATGCTCTTGGTTACATATGTTACACAAAAAGTTACATTTGGTTCACTCTTGGTGTTGTACATTTTATGGGTTTGGACAAATAAATAACCACATACATTCATCATTAAGGTATCACACAGAGTGTTTTCACTGCTCTAAGAATCCTCTGTGCTCCGGCATTATTTTTAAATAAATGGTATGGAATACAATGGCTTAGAGATTTAATTATCAGGGTTCACTGTAGATAATAATGTTACATATCATTTCATGAATATTTTATGTCAGATACACACATGCTGGGATGTAAAAGTTATTTCTGTGGGTGTAATCACAAAAATTGAAGCCACTGAAAAAAAAGGTCTGATCACATTGTCTCAAAACATAAGCAATCCCTGGAAGAGTCACCAAGGAGAGGCATAAAATTGGGTTTGCATTCGTTTATTCATTTAAAAAGTATTAATTAAAATTTAGATTTTCCCTTTTGCCATGGCCTAGTCTAAAAATCCTGGGGCTAAAATAGTGAACATGAGAGATAAGATCTCTAATCCCTTGGAGTTTACATTCTAATGAAGGAGATGGACCAGAAGCAAGTAAATTCATATCTATATTAATAAGAGAAGAGGGTCAGAGATTGATGACATTGGAGTGGGGGCTAATTAAAATATATGATACTATTTTTAAAAGTAGTTGGAAATGCTCATTAAAATTTCATACCTAGCTCCTGACATGAGACTATAGGAAAAAATGAGAAAAATGTGCTAGTGGCTTATGTTATTACAAGCCTAAAAATACTAAAGAGAATTATTTATTTAAATATCATATTAAATACTGAATTTGAAGTATTCAAATTAGTGTTGTCCAAGATACTAATAAATACTGTGTACTCTCAAGGCATTGTGAATTCGTAGTATCAAATAATTTAGCTAAGACTAGTAAAGGACATCACATATAATCAGCATGTTCTTGATTATTTTTAATGTCAGTAAATATCTAAAAATCAATGACAAGGCCAAAAAATTAGGCACCCAAGCCTAACCAATTGTTCTGAATCTGGTTTTAAATATTATCTAATAATTAATTCTACAAATTACATTAATTATATCAACTAAGGTATCATTGTATGTAATAGGTGATTAATAAAAATGTAACGAGAGAGTGAAACAGGTCTGGCATAAAGGTAAAATATGAGATTGTTTCAACTTACTTTTCATATGTATCTCAAACTTAACAAAAATTGAATTTGCCACTACATTTTAAGTACCTCTAGGTCAGCTAGAAGAACATGAACCAACATAATGAAATCAGATTTATAAATGTTTATTACTATTTGGAATAATATAGATCAACTATTCTATATTTAGCCATTGTTCAATGACATTCATATAACTATAAAATAACTCTATTATTTAAATTTTTTAAAAAAACTATGAGAGCAACTTATAATAGGTTGATTTAAAACAGCATTTATCCCAAATATTCCAGCAGTAATAATTTGATAAAAGGGTAGGTTAGGATGTGACACTATTTTTATTATATACTCTTTTCATTACACTAATAGAACATAAGAATGATGTTTTCCATTAAATTTTCAGATAATAAAAATTATGGTGGAAAAGGAATAAAATGTGGTATGACTTCTTTGAGGCCTTCTCATTTCTGCAAGTGGTTCATACCAAAGCATTTTTTAAAAAAGTGAACTTCTACAACCTTTAACTTATAACTCATTGCAGGACCTTTCTCTTGACTATAGTAGCCATGCTGTAAAGCCTACTCCATTCACAGAAGACATCCCTCTGTTATTCATCCTCTCCTACCAGATCTCAGGAAAAGCAAAATACCATGACATAACATCTTAATTTCTGCTCTGTCACTATACTATTGAGTTTGATCAATATTGAATCTGTATGGGACTTGAATCCCTTCTTGTAAAGTGGGAACATTATACTAGATTATCTTCAAGACTTCTTTCAAAAATCTGAATATTTTGTTTGATTTTTTAAATGTTGCTTTCACTCATAATTTTTTCCCATGTTCTATAAATGTAGCTTTATCACACTTAAATATGCACGTTAAATAGCTGTTAGAAAGTCTGATACAAGAATAAACATTTTCTACATATTTTAATGAGCTGATATTTTGAAATTCCAATAACTAATATATAATAAAATGATAGCTCTAACATTAATGGTTATGTTTATTTGCAAAATTATATTTTCTTTTTAAAAATCAATAGTTCAAATTTTTTTGAAAACAAAGGTAAAAAAATATGTTCTAATGGTAGAATTAACTATATAGATGATTAAAATTATGCCAAATTTAGAAAAGCAATTGATTCCAATGCTTTAAGATATTTAGCAAAATGATTTTGCTCAGAGAAACTAGGTTAAATTCAATTGTTTCCACAATTTTATAAAAGATAGTATTTGAATATTTGATGCCGAAGAATGAAATTAAATATTCATAACATTACAACTGTGGCAAATTTTTAAATTGTTCCAAATGATTTGAAAGACCTAGAATACCAGCATGGTTATTTTATATAAAGTATGTGCAAAATATATTATTAAATTATGGTGACTCAAGAAGCACACCATTTTTTTAAACCTATCTAATAATGTCTTTTAACAATTAAAGTTATCTTTTTGTTTAACTCATAGTTTTAACTGACTTGTTTGCCACATGTATCATATTTATTCTATTATTCCCATTTTTAGCTTCTTAAAAATATTAAATTCACTGTGTTTGAGGAGGGAAGAAATTACTCTGAAATTAGGGCTCTTTGGAGGACCGAAACTCAATGTTTTATTTAATTTGTTTCAAATGGCATTAATTTATTCTTCTTTCCGATTATTGGTGAGGGACCCCATGCCCTGAGTATTGCCTTTCCTCAATAAGACATGACACCGGATTCCTTCTTGTTAAATATTTGTCTTTAAACCTGTAATTTCAATGGCACATACTAAATGTATACTATAAAAATACAAGACGACTGTAGTGATGTTTCTTTCTACTGGGTAGATTAAAATTTCTATTTTATATAGATGCCTAATTTCTATTTTCCTGGTCCTAATTTGAAGAAAATCTTACTATATGGTAATACAATCATAAGCCTAGGTGTGTTCAATTGACACCACACTATTATTTACACATATTACCACATTTTATCTAGAATACTACATAGCAATGTCAAATAAAATTTACCCAGCTATAGTGCTGACACATTTTGAACAGTAACTTCCAGATTTGTTCTTTTTAAATTGGTTGTAGGTAAGACTATCAGTTCGACTTTTAACAATTAGCAGGTCCATTCAGATTGTTCTGCCAAGCATTTTTTCTTTTTTACTTCATTGAATTAACCAGTAATTCGGCTCAATAGAATGAGTCATTAAATTATAAGTCTATCACGTAAAAGAATTCCTATATCTATACTTTTTCTTCAAGTTAGTTATATTTTTATTTTCATTTATCCATCCTTGAGATGCATTATTTAAATGTAAGGTTTCAAAGATGAATATGT